ACAAGAGATGAGGAGGGTGAGAGATGAGGAGGCGGGAGGGAAGGAAAGGAGGTAAGGGGGGAAGAAATGAAACACGTCCCCGCGTTTTGCTATCCAAGAAAATTAAAGGATTGAGGAAATCAAATGGAAAAGGGCTAAATTAAGGTGTAAATTTTTTAAATAGACCCAAATTGCAATTTGGAAAGGGAAATCAAATGGACTCTATGACTGTTGCAATCCCAGCACAGTTTTTTCTCCCAAACAATATATAATCAGCTTAACTCTTTCTGAACTGAATCTTCAGCAGGACTTCACTGAATTTTTCAAACCGCGCCCTCAACAATTGTTTGAGTTCATATGTCTCTTTTTTTAATTTTTAGACCTTTCCTATCACCCTCTGAAGCTGAAAACTTGGAGGCACAACCAATCCCACTGCAAAACCTTTTGCTATCAATATCGCTTTATTTTATCATAACATCTGCCTTGTATTTCACCATAAACACTTACTTGTATCATACTACCTTCTTTCATTTTAGAAGTTTGGTGAGTTCCCAAGTATTGTTTTTTCTTCAAGGGCTTGTATTTCCTCCCACATCAGGACCTTCCATTGAGGTTTGATAGAGCTTTTGCTGCACATGATGAAATGCTAACAGTAGACAAGGATGATAGGAAGATATGATAAGAAGCTGACATCAACTTATATGAAACAAAGTTGCGTATAGGATACTGAGTGCAGGAATATTTACCTTCACAAAACGCAACCAATAACTTAATGTCCAACGCATGAGTGGAACTAGGAGGTTCTAAGGGAAGAGTAGGATAGGGAGGATTGTCTAAGGTTTGTACCTGGTTCGAAGTTGGCAATTTAGTGATGATCAATCTGGACTTTAGGTTGTACCAACTTCCTTCGAACATACATCTTCAACTCCTCATTGGGTTCAACTGGGGCATTTCCATCTTCAATTTGCGTAATATCAAAAATGAAGTAGGGTTGAAAGAGGTTGAGGCAATGATGTTGAACTGCTCTCTTTTTATCTAATGTTCTCCCCCTAAAGAGAGCATATTTCTCCAGCAATGGAGAAATATGGGATGGATTCCAAGAAGATAACTTCTATAGAGACATAGCTATCTTTATTAATAGAATCATAGCTTGATTTGCTGGATATCCTAAGAAAATACACTTAATGGCTTTAGGTTCGAGTTTGCATCTCTAAGTGCCCAGAATATGAACAAAACATACACAATCAAAAACTTTGAGAGGCATGGGAAACAAAGAGGAATTAGGAAGAACAGTTTAGATCGGGTTGCCCTAACGGGCCCTTGATGGCATACAATTTATCATGAAGGCAAATAGGAAGGACAACTTATAAACTGTAGTTACCAAATCTCTCACTCAAGGTCGCGATTCCAATTCGGAATCCTGATTCTACAATTCCAACAAAGAATCTTCACGGAATCCATTTCTATGAAATCAGGAATCTCGATTCCAACACTTATAAAATCTTGTTTCTAATATTTATTTATTCTTACTTAATTGTTTGAAGCTTGATTCTACATTTGTTGAATTTGGATTCCACATATAATGCTGCTAGATGCAATTGTTTTTCAAATCGATTCCTGAATCCCAATTGCTAGGGAAGTCGAAAAGCGATTCCAAATTGATATGAATCTCGATTTAAATGCATTAGAAACTCGATTCCAAAGATGTTGGAATCTCAATTCCATACGACTCGATTTTAAATAGGTTAGAAACTTGATTCCAAAGAGGTTAGAGTCTCGATTCTATACATGTAGGGATCTCGGTTCCATTTGGGTAGAATCTTGATTCCTATAAAGCAGGAACCTCCCGTTTCCTGCAATTCCTATTTTACAAACCTCGATGCAAAAAATAAGAATCTTCTAGACAGCCACGATTCTGATTCCTAAAATGATTCAGAATCTCAAGCGTTTCCCACAACTATACTTCAAACCATAAGACTTTTGGAACTTTCATTCCGAGTGAGATGGATCGAGTAACTTCCAACTAGTGTCGATTTTTTCTTAGCAACTCCATTTTACTGAGGAGTATAAAGGAATGCTGTTTGGAACTCTATACCTTGATTCCTCAAATAATCTCTATGATGACTAGTAACATATTCATCACCATTATCAAAACGAAGTTCTTTGCTACTTGCATTATCTTGTGTTCTAACCATTTTATAGTAAACGTTAAAGAGGTTTGCAACTTTATCCTTATGTTTCATTCGATATATTATGATGGTCAATCTAGAGCAATCATCCACAAAAGTAACAAAGAAATGACAGCCATAAATAGAAACAATAGGAGAGGGACCCCATACATCAAAATATATAATAGAGAAAGAAGTGTCTCTTGTTTTTTTATCGTTGATAGGAAATGAAGTTCTATAATGTTCCAACATTTGAGAAATCTCACATTGTCATTGAACTTGATCAAATGATGTGGAGTCTTAGGAAACAAAGATTGCAATGTGGAAAGAGGAGCACGACCATGCCACAAATATGCCCGTTCTTTATTAGAAATCAAAGACATGGCAGTGGCTTGAGTTGTGTTAGGAGCTTTATTTGATGTCTTTAGAAGGTATTCCCCCCCATCCTCACGATGATGCATAATTGTCTTTCCCGTTACCAAGTCCTGAAAAACACAATGAGACGGCAAAAATGTTACAAAACAATTTGAAGTTTTTGTAATATTGTTGACAGATAGAAGATTATTGAACAACTTGGCAACAAAGAAAGTGGAGAGCAAAGTCCTATTTATCTAAAGAGTAAATCACTCGTGACATAAGGGAAAGATCGCTGCACCACGGCTCTCCCCTCCGCACCTTCTTTACCCCAACCCCTCCCCCTCCCCCTCCCCCTCCCCCATCCCTCCTTGCCCCCCTTGGGATTTCCTCTCCCTGTCTCTCAACGGCTCCTCGGTCCTTTGAATCTAGGATTCCTCTCTTCATCCCCTGCGATTCTCCTCAATTCACTTGTTGGCCATTTACATCCCCCTAGAGCTAATTTGAGAGCCATCGAAAAATGGGCTAAAAAATATTGGGACGAACCCAACATTGGTTGTAGATCTCTTCATATGGGTGACATTTTATTTCCTTACCTTCCGTGGAGGCATCTCTTCACACCCTGCTTACACCCCTTCCAACTTTTAAAGGGGCTTTCTCACATTGTCCAAATGGGATCCTAGTTTAGGAGCTTTTCGTCCCCATCGAATCTGGGTCCAGGTGTTCAATATTCCCCTCCACATTTGCAACCTGGAATCTTTCAAGCTCATTGGCAACACCATTCATGACTTCATCAGGGTGCATTGGCAATCTTCAGAGTTCCTACCTCTAGGCTCCATCCAGGTGCTCATTGAATCCATCTCCCCAGAGCTCATTCCCGATGCCATCTGGATATCCCTCAACAGCCTATTCTATAGGGTTCATTTGGCTTGGATCCCGGCCTCGCCCCCATCTAGCCGTCATTTTCCAGCCACCCCAACCCCTCCAAGTAACAAGAAAGACGGAAGAGCATCTCTTCCCCCTGCTGTTCGCCGGAGAAACAATCGCCAGAATTATCTCCCTATAGACGTGGACACCACCTCCCTGCAAAAGTTTCGAGTAACTTGGTGGATGCGGTTGTCATTGCATCCCATTCTTGCCCTCAGCCCTCCTCCTCAGCACAGCAACAAGAAGTACAGCCGCCGCAGACTCAGAACTCTGCATCCATCCCATTGGTCAAGAGAGTTTCCTCATTTGGCCCAAGCTCTTCCTTGCTTCAGATTGCTGGTCCTTTTTCGTGCTTGGCAGAAGATATACCTGCCCCCCTGCCATCGCCATCGAGGACAACCATTCCTGTCACACACCCTTTATCGGAGACACCCTAGGCCACGTGTTAGTACCTTTTTACACTTCTCCTCTTCCTTTTTGCCCTTTCCTTTTTCGTGTATCCCCGTGCTGCTGCCTTCCTCTTGCTAGATGGCACCTTCCACCCTGCCACAGGTGTCGCCTGCTGGTCAATCCCCCGCCCTTGACCTCCACATCTGCCCGTCACCCTTGGGTCGTCCTCTCGGCCCGACAGAAGTCCCCTTGTCGTCTTCCGGCCTCAGGTCAACGCATGTTTTTCACTCTCCCCTTCTCGCCAGGTTTACCTCTCCTCGCCCCTCGCCCTCACCTCTCTCCGTGCGGCCCCCGCTGTTTAGAGGATGAGCTCTGTTGAGGTTTCTCCTCCACCCACATTATCAGCAGTCTGGCCGTACAACTGCTGACATTGGTAGTGCGTCCAAAGTCTTAACAATCGACTTTCAAATTTTTCAGACATTGATCTTGCTTTAATACCAAGTTGGGAAAAATGATCTGGATTTAGGTGTGAAGTTCTTTAAATGTATCCCATTTATGCCCCTAACTTGTCATTGCACTTTCAAAAGCTGGTGCCAAACTACGGAATTTCTATTCTATTACCTTTCCCTCTCCCAGCCGCTCCCAAACTAGGAAACTTCTTGGAAAGGTTAATTCCTTACTCGTGCTCCCAATAAGTAAGTCCTTTTATACATCGCCTTTCAGTTCAAGTCTCTTCAGGTGAGTTATTTCTTCTTCTTACTGATTGTTGTAATTTTTGCAATGATTTTGTGGATACACTATTTTTCTCTTGCACTTTCTACAATTATGTTCAGATCCTTCTGGTATTCTTGTGGATGCATCATCCAATAGACAGTGTATTCCTATGGATGCATCATCCAATAGACAGTGTATTCCTATGGATGCATCATCGTGTATTATGCTAAGCAATGTATATATTCAGTTAATCTAAGGAAAGTTAAAGACACAGCTTGGTTTTGCTTTGATATTGTTTTTCTTGGGTACTGGTTTAATCCTTCATATCGAGTGAGCTCCTTTAGGAAATTTAAAGCTCCTTTGTGGGTGGATCAATTTTTATTCGTTATACCATCCCAATTAGTTTATTCATGTTTGTCAATTTATGTTTCTATTAATTTGCTTGCTGATCATTTATTTTTTGTTCAGGGTAGGTTACCGATGGATTATGCAGTTGCTGGCCCTTGGTTGCTATGCTCTGTTGCTTATGCCAGGTTTCCTGCAAGGTGTGTAGTTATTGGCAACAATATCCAAAACCTGGTTAACACATGGATCTCCAATCACTGCCAACTCTATCTTATTGAGATGTGACTAAGCCATGGCAGAGTTACTCTCTTCAATCTCAAACAGTTTTACACCATAGTATTCAACCATTTATATTGTTCTTCTTTGAAAGTATTTTAAAGAATATAAGCGAGAAATATACGACGATATTTTATCTGTGTTTGCTTATTGCAGTGGGGTATTACTATTACTTTTCAAGACAGGTCCGTAGAAGTGTGGTTTATGGGGATCAACCGAGAAACAGGCATATAATTTATTTTATTTATCCGTTTTCTGACAAGTATCATCCATTAAGGTTGCATGCATGTCATGGTACCTTGACTTATTCGGCCTTTTTCCGTACGTTTGTTTGCAGGTTAGATCTATATTTGCCTGTGAATCTTGACGAGCCAAAGCCAGTTGTGGCATTTGTAACTGGGGGTGCTTGGATTATAGGGTTAGTTTATGTATGCTGATTCCATATACCCCATCATAGTTTGATAATTGATCAGATGTTGGGTTTATATTTATGTTTCGGTGCCAGTAAATGTGTTTATTAGTCCACTTTCTTTGCTCTTTCCATCACTTAGGTGCATTCATTGTTTGACTTTTACTGTGAGGATTTTGGTGTTTAGGTACAAAGCTTGGGGTGCTCTTTTGGGACAAGAATTAGCAGAACGGAATGTCATAGTAGCTTGCATAGACTATAGGTTGTTCTTTTCCTATATTTAAATTGTACATGTTTTACTAGGATATTCTACACCGCATAACTTTTGATTCTCATCCTATAGATTTTCCATTATTTCTAGTAACAATTGTTCGTCTTATGTTTATGCTCTTCAAATATTTACTTTGTAGCCATTAAATACTTTCAGGAATTTCCCCCAAGGAACCATAAGTGATATGGTGAAAGATGCTAGCCAGGGTATCTCCTTTGTATGCCAGAATATTACTGATTTTGGAGGTGATCCGAACAGGTATTGCTTGTTCTAACCCCATGCCATGCTTATAATAATACAGTCCTTGCCCTTTCAGCTAGCTTTATTGCATTTGTATAGTAGCAAGTACTAACTTTTCATGTTTATCCACTTAGGATCTTTGTAATAGGCCAATCAGCAGGTGCACATATTGGTGCTTGTGTCCTTTTAGATCAGGCAATAAAAGAATGTGGGGAGCAAGAGGATTTGACATGGAGTGTATCCCAAATCAAGGCTTACTTTGGAATATCTGGCGGGTATTCATTTTGACATGACTGTACATGCAACTTCTTGTTTTTTAACTGTTTCCAGCATCTCCACATTAAATATTGTTGACAAAAACCTTTTTGAAATTTGTCTTCAATGACCATTGCAATTCTAGAGTCCTGAAACATATTTGCATGTTTCAGGGGTACTTTGGCATGGTATGTTGAGTAGCCTAGCTTCTGTTGGGACTAGTGTCCTCATGGGCAATGTAGTTTGTGATATAAAAATTGTAGTTCAGAAAGGCTCCAACCAAAATGCTTCTGACAGATGTATTAGGAATTTCCTCAAACAAAGGTATGCATTTGGAAATCATGTTGTGGGAATGTAGGGAATCTGGCTTGGTGGAGTGAGTTGGAGACTTTATAACAAAGGTCAAACCATTCCTATGGATCTAAAAGGCATTATTGATCACATGCTCGACATAAGGATGACTATCCTTAGAGGAGTATGTGCAGCACTGTTCCCAAACAAGGCCACTTCACATTTGTCTAGCAGAGACTTATTATTTCCATCAGGAGGGAGAGTTGCAGTTTGCCAAATCCAGTAACTGGACTTGTATTAGGCTATAGAAACAGGTAAAATAGAAAGGCTAGCTACTTGATGAGTGACTGCAACCATCACCAGCAAGAACACAAGGTCCCCCCAATGTTCTGCAACAGTTGGCATGGGCTGTCACATCAATCAGATGTAGGCAAGCATAAAGAATGTGCAAATTGTTTTTACCTATTTGTGATCCTCATGAATTTTTATTTTTTTATTCAGATTATATGGGATTTTGTGCATTTTCTATGTTGAATTTTCTTTTATTCTTTTCTTTTTCTTTTCTATTTGCATAAAAAATGTGCTCCTATCTTGTGGTAGATGAATTTGCAATGGAATAAAGAAATGTTCTAGGTGGATCTGGGTATCCCCACACTGCAAACTGAAATTATTAAAAAACATATGCTCATAATTTCCAGCTATATGCAAATAAATCCATTAACTTGTTCACATCTTTATTTTTTGATAATTTGGTGAATGCTTTGATTGGTAATGAGATTAATAAATTCAAACCATCTCATCCATTAAAATTTAATGTTTCATTGAATTTGGATGATATTATTCTATCTTCCATGAGAAGTGGCTATCTAAGGGTTACTAAATTAGGGAAACTCTGATTCTAATTAATGATATAGGTGGATTGCATACATAATGACATGCACAACATGGCTATATAGCCATTTACAATGTTATATGTTCATAAAGATTAGTTATTTACCCGTTTATGTGTTCAGAATTTGGACCAACTAGATGTAAACGATTTTATTTCAATATATTACCATTAAAAAAATAATTAGTTATATACTTAAATTCCACTTTCCTGCATGTAATAACTTGTACACACTGGACACAGTTTTGTTAAACCTAGAGTGTCTTTAGCTTAGGATATTTTGAATGATTGCCAAAGAGAGGAGCAGTAGAGAAAAAGAACTCGGGAAATGAAGTGGGTCTAGTTATTTATTTGATCCTGGTCTCTTTATTCATATATCCTTCGTACTATTACATAAAAACATGCAGGCCCATAACTATAGTAACATGACTATACACATGCAATACACTGAATACATAAAGACATTTACACATGTACAATCTTCCTCAAGTTGGTGCTTGAATGGCGAATGTGCCAAACTTGCCCATAATGGTTTGAAGCCGACAGTAGACCACGGCTGATCCTTGTGATCTATTGGTAACTTATCTTGGTGGCTTCCAATATGTCCGAGGTTTGATTAGGTGAGGAAGGAGAGAAAAGAAGCCAACCCTAGACATCGGACAGATGATCCTTTCACATGTGTATTAATCATTTTGGTAACCACCTTCCTTTGAGTAAAATGAAAATCCACCTCAATGCGGGTTATTTCACGAGAATTGAATTGGCGACAATTGAGATAGCAATTTAATTATAAGGAATACAGGAGACTTCACTTCCACACCCATGTCATAGAGCAGTACATGAAGCCAAAAGATCGCTATTGGGCTTTTGTACTAGCAATATCACAATTTGTATTTTTGCTCTTCCAAGTGATCAGATTACCATAAATGACTGTGCAATGACTGTTATTGGATCAACGATCAATTAGACACCATTCCATTCGGTATCATAGTAGCCAATTAAGTACCAGTGAGTACCCTTAGTCGTAATAATGCCTTAATCAGAAGCTGACTTGAGATATCTCATGACGCATTTGATAGTCCATATGCAGAATTCAAGGCATAAATATGTTAAGTTGACTAACTACAGACATGATATGGGCTTGGTGATCACAATATAGATGTTGATAGTCATTGTCTTTTAAAGGCATTCCTGGTGTTTTAAAACTCGTGAACCGACCAACTTGAGACTCACCCGTGTTGGCTCTGCTTTGGACTGTTGCTTTAAATGTAAATCCATAAGAAAAGTGGATAAGGCTAAGAAAGGTGCACAAATTGAACAACTCACGGTACTTTTAATCTAGAGTCTAGGGGTTAAAGTCCCAAGACACCTGTAAATACCTTGTTTATTTTACATGCAAAGTATCATTACAGCAGAACAATTCTGAACCAATTACATATTTGGGATGAGAGAAAAAGAATACTCGTTACAGGAAGAAAAGAAAAACAGTAGTACATTTGTGGGGAAGACAATGAATCTTGGGTATGGAGTACAATTGCGGGGAAAACAATACATCTTGGGAATGGAGTACCAATGCAGGAAGGGTCATACATCTCGGGTGTTTTACCCTTATACCTCACCCCTTGTAATCATCTCGTGTACTTTAAGATATTTCAACTATAGCGTACTTAAAGATATTTCTAACTATACCCTTATGCCTTTGCCCTTGTAATCATCCTGTGTAATCTTCTCTTTCTTTTTCTCCTGTGCACTCGCTTATACTCTTTTGTCGTCTTCGTTCTTGCTGTTGTTCTAGTTGTAGTAAGCTCGCTTTTATCCTTTATAAAGTCTTCCATATATGTCTCTTAGTGGAGACAGTTGAGCAAAGTGGGAAAAGTTATTACCATAATGGATAGGTAAAATTGACTGGCATGTCCAAAAAATGGTTGTGAAATAGTGTAAATATGCGTCCAACTTTCTTCAAAATAATACTAGTGTATGCTACAAGAGTGGGTTATGTGCCTGACTTCTAGGATTAGGATAGGTTTTCACAGAGAAAAGGGCTGGGTGGTCAACTTCCACATTCAGAAAGTCATGGTTACTGGTTTCTAGAACCTTATCCATTAAAGGAGTATGCAGTACAGCCGGTTGCTGCTGACCACCCCTTGATAGTATATTGGCGAATGCTAACCCAATACTGAGCCGCCAATTCAACGTTGAGTCATTGAGCTATTAAGTCAATTTGACATCAACATTGTTACATAGACACTCCACTTTTACCCTTGTAGCATGTCGACACTTAGACACGGTCAACACGCCCGACCACGCACCCGACACTTTGTCCGTATGTGTAGGGAAAGATACTGTGTTGAAATGGGTGTCGACACATCTATATTGCACGTCTAAATTCCAGACACAAGAGTATCACTATGCATTTAAAATGTTATTCATTCCTGGGTTTTGAACCCATGATCATTTGTAGTAATCCAAAGCGATAACCACCACACCATTAATGTAACTTTATATTTGAAATATATATTACTTATCACTTATCAAGCTATCAATGCATTTGTTGCATTTATTACTTTATTGGACAAAGTCTACGACATGATATTAAAAAAAGAACCCTTTTATGCATGCCCTTTTCTGCATGTGCATCACATGTTTATGAATTTTTATTAATATGTTATTAACTTATTATCGTATGCATGTATTTACCAATATATTTAATGTATTTGTCATTAATTTATTGTCTTGTTAATATGTGTTCATACATACTCAAATAAATATTATCCTTATTTTAATTTCTAAAAGTCATCATCATCATCCGAGCTTTATCCCACCTATTTAGGATCGGTTACACAAATTCTATTCTACCATTCTGCTCTATCAAGGGCCATACACTCAGTAAGACCATAAGTCACTAAATATTTTCTCACATGTCCTTTTGTGCCTTCCGTTGCCCTTTTAGAGTTTTCCACTTGAACCAAATCTCACTTCATAACGAGTGTTGTACTAGGCCTATGCTGCACATAGCCAGCCCACTTAAGTCTATTTCCATTATTTTATTGCCTATTGAAGCCACATCTAAATTCTCTTGTATGTATTCATTCTGAATTCTATCCTTTCTTATCTTGTCACTTATCCATCCCAACATCCCCATCTCAGTCGTGCTCATCCTATGGTATGTTGTTTCTTAACCGCCTAACATTCCATCCCAAGCATGGCTAGTCATACAGCTGTCCTATAGAACTTCTCCTTCAGCTCATTGGTATGTGACGATCACATAAATCTCCGAATGCACATCTCTACGTCACCCACCCAGCTCTAATTCTATGTACGACATCTTCCTCAATCTCTCTATACTCCTGGATTATCGAGCCAAGATATCGAAAACAATCTCTTTTAAGGTATTTCTTGGCCATAATCCTTAACTACTTCCTCGTTTCTACTCGTATTATTGCTGAACTTGCATTTCATATATTTTGTCTTAGTCATTTTTTTTGAAACTAATTAACTTTTGTCTTAGCCATTTTAATTTCTAAAAGTAAGATGAGGTTTATAATTTTAAAGTAAAATGTCTATTGTAGGACTTCGATTTGGAAGTTTCTAATGTGAAAATAGTGGTTCTGCTGTCCCAACTACCAAATTCATAGATGTTTTACATTATCATCATCATCATAGCCTTTTCCCAATTAATTATGGTAGGCTACACGAATCCTGGTACGCCATTTGCTCTATTGAGGGCCATACCCTTAGTGAGGCGATAAGTCCCTGTAGTTTTTCTCACTACTTCCAACCATGTCTTTTTGGGCCTACCCCTTGCTTTTTTTTAGCCTTCCACTTGAATGATGTAAGTTT